AAGACGAAAAACTTATGGTGGTGGGCCTATGTTTGGAGGGGAAAGCCCTAGCTTGGTCTCAGTGGAGGGAGGTTAGGTATCCGATCTATTCATTGGGGGAATTTTAAGGATTGTTTGTTGGAATGAACCTCCACGAGCAGTTCTGTGCTTTAACTCAGGAGGGGACAACCATGGAGAGGGGTGCAGACTTAGCAGATTGGCCCAATAGAAGCTGAACCTAGGAGAGGGGAATCCCCCCTCCCCCCCCGTGTGGGGCTCAACAAAGCTATAGTTCATTATGAAAGGAGGAGAAATTAAGGAGAAGTTATTTAGGGAAGTTTTAATTAGAATTGAAGTCAATAATTCTAATTTTGAATTGATATAGGAGAGGGAAATTAATTGGTGTTTTAATTCCAATTTGAATTCAAAATAAGAGAGGGAATTAATTAAGGCTGTAATGTTGTTTGGGAGGGAAATAGGAAGAGCTTATTTAAGATTAGTTATTTTGTTATGAGGGATATAGATATTTTTCTTGTTTGATGGAGTTTTCTTCTTGAGGGCTTCCAAGCAGTGTCTAGGTTGTTTGGGAGAGCCAATCTACCTCTCTAATTGTAGATCACTTGTATCTTGTCTTTGCTTTGAAGTTATAAAAAAAAAGAATCAGCCATCGTTTCGAGTATTTCTACAAATTTTCTATTGTTCTATTGCTTCTTTCATTTCTATGTTGTATCTCTTTCCTAATTTGTATGTAATATACCTGGCTTTGATTATTTCCTTATAAATGATTGTATAGTCTATATTAATCTCCACTTCTTGCACAAATGTACACCAATAAAAACTACTACAATTTTCACATTTTTTTCCATTTTGTTTTTTAGTATTTATGATATCGGAGTAGTAAAATGATCCTTAGACTGTTGTTAGTAGAGGATTACTTGCAGGAGAGGGGCAGGGTGTTAGAAGAGTTGAAGAAGCATCTATTGAGAACCCACCAGTTTATGAAGAAACAAGCTGATGGGCACAGGAGGGACATTCTGTTCGAAGTAGGAGATGTGTTTTTGAAGCTCCGATCATACCTGCAGAAGACTATCGCCAACAGGAGGAATGAGAAGTTGGCCCCAAAGTATTTTGGACCATTTAAAGTTTTGGAGAAGATTGGAAAGGTAGCATATAAATTGAAATTGCAAGCCGTAGCAACCATACATCATGTTTTTCATGTTTTACAACTTAAAAGGGCAATTGGGGAGCATGCCACAAGTTCTGAGATACCAGTAACTTTAACAGAAGACTTGGAGGTAATACTAGAACCCTTCGAGTTACAAGGGGTACGCCAGGGAGGGGGACGAGTCAAGTAGGTATTGATCAAGTGGAAGGATCTTCTAGATTATGAGGCGGCATGGGAGCCTTATGAGAGGGTAAAACATCAGTTTCCCTCTTCCCACCTTGAGAACAATGTAGTTCTTTGAGAAGGCGGTATTGTTAGGTCGGTTCCTGAACCAACCTAGCCAACCCCACATGGGCCGGCCTTAGTGTACAGGAGGCGAGCCAAACCGCCTCCCATGTGACCGCCCAAGCCATAGGGGCCCACGCCCCTATTTAGTGCTGCCCAAAGATAGTTGGGTCAACTATTTGAATTAATCTATTTTTGACAAAGAGGTTGGGAGGGTCCACTATTTGAATTAATCTATTTTGGGCAAGGAGGTTGGGCGGCTAAGGCTATGAGGGAATTTGTAATTAGAAAATTTATGCTATAAATAAGTATGAGTGGTAAGGTTAGGGAATGATTGATTATTGTTTTCTCTTGGAGTCTTTTTGGGTGTCTTGGGCTCTAGACTTATTGTCTAGAGATTTGGGAGAGAACAATCCTCCTCTCGAATTGAGGATCAATTGTATCTTTTGCTTTATGTTTGCTTGCTTTATTTTATATAATAAAAACTATTGTTTGGAGTTTATTTCATTGGTGTATTGTATATTTTCTCACTGTTTGTATCAATTTATTGTTATGGTTGCTTGCGAACTCAAGTATTTCCGATAGGATTACTTGCAAACTCAAGTATTTCCTATCACATTCCTTTCACACCAAGTCTATTTCACAATTTAGATATTCCTATTATATTTAGAAAGGAAAATTAAATAAGTACCAAACACCCTATCGTGAATTTCTTTTACTATGAAAATTTATTAGAATGCCATAGAGCACGTCTTGAATCTTTAATCGTTTTTTCCAAGAACTATTCATGAATCATTAAATACAATAACAACATCAAGCCTTTTTCACACTATATGGGGTCGGCTACATGAATCTTTTTTCTCTATTGTGTCATGTTAAGAGTCAAATTCTCATTTAAATCTAATAAAGGAATGTCATTTCTAATATTTTCTAACCAAGTCTTTTTTGTTTTACCTCTATCTTTCTTAATATAAGCTGAATCTAATACATCTACTTTCCTAACCGGGTCATCGAAAGTCCGCTGTTTTATGTAACCAAACCCTCTAAGGTGACTCTCTCTAATCTTATCTTCCACTAGAGCTACTCCAACCTTTTCACGTATATACTCATTTCTTATCATGTCTCTAAGAGTAATGTCACTCATCCACCTGAGCATCCTCATCTCTACAACACTTGACTTAATATTATGCTTCTCTTTTAATGGCATTGCAGGTCTTACCACCATCTTATAAAATTTTTCCTAAGTTTGAGATGGACTTTTCTATCACACAACAAGCCCAATGCATTCATCCACTTCAACCATCCAACTTGAATTCTGCTAATAATTTCTCTATTTATTTCATCATCACTATGAACAATAGACCCAATATACGTAAAACATGTCCTCTTATTAATGACTTGATCATTCAAAGTTACAATCCACCCACTAGATCTATTATTACTAAAATTGCACTCTATATATTCAATTTTAAATCTACTCAAACGAAAACCTTTAGACTCTATGATTGACCTCCATAATTCAAGGTTACCTTCAATTCCCTCACTTGTCTTATCAACAAGAAGAATATCATCAGGGTTCAACCTCTTGCAAATGTCTAATGAGAACATCCATGACTAAAGCAAAAAGATAAGGGCTTAAGGTTGATCTTTGATGTAATCCAACTAAAATAGGAAAATACTTGGTCAAGCCATCTTGTGTTTGAACACAAGTAACAGCTCCTGCATACATTCAGAAATCATTAAATAATCAAAATTAAAAAGTAGCTATGGTGGAAGAAATGAATGATCTAGAAAAGAATAACAAATTGAGTATTGTTGATCTACCCAAAGACAAGAGGATCATTGGATGCAAATATGTGTTCACAATAAAATGCAAACCTTATGGAGCTATGGAAAGCTACAAAAACAAGGCTTTTAGAAAAGGGTTTTTTCAGAACTGTGGTATATAGACTACCATGAGACCTTTCGCTTCTGTTACCAAAAGTAATTCTATCATAATACTTCTATCTCTTGCAATTAATTCTAATTGGTCAGATCATTAACTTGATTTTAAGAATGCACTTCTAAATGGAGGCTTGCAATAAAATGTATAGAGGAGTCTTCCTTCCATATTTGAGTAAAATCCACGAAAGGACAGTATCTAGATTGACAAAAATTTTGTATAGCTAAAATAGTCTCCTGGAGTATGTTTTGAAAGATTTGGCAATATTGTTTGGGGACCTGGTTTTTAACAAAGTCAAGCCGAGTATACATTGTTGTTTAAGCATTCTAAAATGGTAAAGTAGCCATCCTTATTGTTTATGTTGATGATATATGATGAATTCATTAAAATTAGTAACTTGAAGAAAAAGCCTGCGATCAAATTTGACATTAAAGGCCAAGGAAAGATGAAGTATTTTCTCAAGATGGACTTTGCCTGATCCAAGAAAAGTATTTTGATCAACCAATGCAAGTTTATTCTTGATTTGATTAAAGAAATAGAGATGATTGGTTATAAAGTTGTATAAACTCCAATCAAGCCCAGTTTACAATTAAAAACAGCTGCCGAAAATGAAGCAGTAGACCGTGGAAGCTATTAAAAAGTAGTCAGAAGATTAATCTACTTAACTCTCGACTAGACATTGCTTATTTTGAAGATGTATCCTGTATCTTGAGATAACTTTAAGGGACTTCAGGGAATAAACTCTTGTTTCAAAACAGAGGTGATCTGAAGGTAGAAACCTGCATATATGCTGATTGAGCATGGGATATCAATGAAGAGATTTACCTCTGAATATAGTTCTTTTTTAGGAGGTAACCTGATTATTTGAAAAAGCAAAAAATAAATGGCATAGCTTTTGTGAAGTGTTGTGGATAAAAGACTTCCAGAAGATTTAAAGTTTTCACCCCAATATCTATCAAAGCCTATTGTGATAATAAAGCTGCAATCTCTATAGCACATAACTCTGTTCTAAACAATAGAATACAATATGTAGAAGTAGACCGACACTTTATCAAGGAGACGCTTGACAGTGGTGTGATATGTATGATCTACATAGCCACAGCATATCAAATTATTGACACCTCACTAAAATACTTCCAAATCACAATTTGACTATTTGATTATCAACTTTTCATGAATGATATATTTATACCAACGTGAGTTTGAGCATTGATTGTCACACTTGCTGGCTTCGCCGCCTCCTAATATCTGGACCTGTCAGCTATGGGTGGTTCCCATAGTCTAATCTCCTCCCAAATCAGGAATCCTTACTTCCTGCTACCTTGCAACCAGTCAATTTGTGGCCTAAGAACACATGGACTGATGACTTATGGGTTAATTGCTTTCCTGATTTGCATGTAATATAATAGGCTTTGATTATTTTCCTTGTAAATGACCTAAAGTAAAAGTCTATATAAACCTCCACTTCTTGTATAAACATAAAACAACAAAAAACTGTAGCAGCTTTTCATCTCTCTTATATTTTCTTTTTAGTTTTTATCTATCATAATAGAACTTGATTAAATCTTATTAATTGGTTTGTATGGCTTTGCGGTTATTCTTGGATGCTAACTTTTATTGTTTAATCAGGTCAAAAAGGTTATGGCTTGATGGGTTTCAGAAACTAAGCTCGATATTGTCCGCAAAGGAGTTATCGGATTTGCAGGAAGTCATGCGTGACAAAGAAATACACCTTAGAACTGACATCTATGAAATCCTTCTACAAGATGAAATGGAGGTATGATGCGAACCTCATTTTGGTACTACTTCACACTGTATAATAATACTGGCGTATCCAGCTTTCCATAAAGATGATATAGTGATCTTGCTCGGTTGTGAAAAATTGTTACTTTGTCCAGCTTTTGCACAAAAAAGATTTCAACCGCCTTTTTATTATATGGCCCGGCATATTTTTAGGCTTTTGCAAACGCACCAACAAGATACCTTGATTTGTGTGCAAAGTTGAAAATTGTTGCATACAATTATTTTGTGTAAACACTTTCAAGGTCTTTTTTTACCAAAAAGAGCATTATTAAATTCTCTTATGGAAGGCCACGTAGATGAAGCTATGTATTATTGTCTTGCATAAAATATTCAACCTGCAACATTTTGTAACAATGTGGCAATACGTATATCATAGAGCGCAGTTCAGTCTCTCGAAGGTATGAGCTCATTGCCACGAGTCATAGCAAGACAAGTTTAATGTGACACGCCTTTCAATCATCTCATTTCATCGTTTCCTTTAACATTTATATTGAGGAATAAGTATATTTTTATTTGAATAAGCATTTTTTTTAGCGTGCTGCAATTGCTAAGTTTGTAATATATTAGCAAGAAATTTGTCATTATTAATATCAATATTAGTGTTATCCTATTCATTTGTAGTTGATTTTATGAATTTTTATTTTCATTTATCCTGTTAGGCTTCGTTTGAGGCATTTTTCTTAGTACTTTCTAAAGCAATTTTTTAGTAGAAAAATCTCTTGAAAAAAATAGTGACAAAAAATTTGTCTCAATTGAGAGATTATTCTGTGCGGACACCGGATGGTGCAGAGGCCAATCAAAACGTGTCACGTCACCTGATACACAGCGGTACCCAGCACTGATACCAAGTAAAAAAATGATGTGGCCCGTTCTGGTTGTACGCTGGACGGCATCCGGCGTCCGCAGAGAATAATTTATCCTCAAATGAAGCCTTAGTATTGTTTAAGATGTTACCCATCTTTTATTCACATTATCTTAGATATATCTCTTGCTTCCAAAATTTTTAATACTGAATTTATCTGTTCTACTTGTAAATACTTAAACAATCTAACCTTATTTTTAATTGTGGTAACTTGACATTTGAAATATTTCTTCAAAATGTACTCGTCTGCTTAAAAGTAAATGTAGAACCTGAAGTGCTGTCGTGCTACTTGTTCCTATAATTTTTCACTCGCCACATTCTTTAGCCATTTTTCATAGAACTGTATTCTGCAAAAGAAGAGTAGCATTTCGATTATCTCAGTTGCGTCATTTGATTGCACCTTTAGAGTTTAGTTTGTATGAAAATGAATGTCTGAGATCAAGCTAAATTTTAGGCAGAAATTCAGCAAGTGACGAAAATGCCTTTCCTAATGATACTGAATCTTGCCTGCCTTGTCTTATATAACCTGCCAAGCCACCGTTGCTTAGCTTGGTTGGGTGAGTACGGTTGGGAACCCTCTAACCCGTGCTCGATTCTCCTCTAGATGTACCGCCTCTTAAGTGGGGCCCAATCAAATGCGGGCCACGAGATTTTAGGCTGCGTGCCTCTTCTAGATCAGTCGATGATTAGTTGCGCCGCCAAGCACCCTTTCGAGGGTGGCAGTTGGTGGATATCTCGTTCCTCTCTCTCTATATATATATATAACCGGCAAAAAAAAAAAGAAATCATGAAGCATAATAGGAAGTCCTGCTATGAAAGAATTTCATACCATTGTTCAAATACATTCTTGTTTGATAAAATGTAGAGTGGGCTCTAACTTACAATTGGAAAAACTCTCATCAACGCCAAACTCAACTTTTGTGTAATCCTGTACGATTACTTGTCACTTTTAGTTGGAGTGATTGAATTTGGTGTGGTCATTGCCTATTATTGAAAAAGAGAACTGCTACAGTAGAGAGAGAGAGAGGCGAACACATGCTACTGCACAATGGATGATCTCCGTTTGCTTTGCTTAGTTTATTACTAGGTGAAAGCGAAGTGGAGTTCACTTCGGTAGGTGTTATTAGTGGGAGCACTGTAGCTAGGAGTAGGTAAGGTTAAATTCAACCACTTCAGCTTTTTTTAAGGGAAATTACGCTTTTAACGAGAAATTTCCGTCTGAGACTGATTGCGACTATTGATGGATAGTTAGACTGCATGACCTTTAATCTGAAAGAAATCTATCTTCTTTTTATTGCCTCTTATTCAGCTTAACTCCTTTCTCTCTCTCTCTCTCTCTCTCTCTCTCTCTCGTTTTTCACTACCAGTCTGCAAACTTCCATCTGCCACTACAACAGCTAAAGGCTGATTTATCCCTGAATAACTGACGTGCAGGAAAGACTCTGTCTCTCTCTCTCTCTCTCTCCCCCCATCTATGTATATTTTCTGAATTTGAAATCGTACTCAAAGCATAATCAAAACTATCAATCACTAGCTGGCTAGCTCTTAGACTTTTTATTATTATATAAACATTTAAGTGCATGGCTTAAAAAACAGTTTTCTTCACTTATTGGTCCATGAATTGAATTCTTTCACAGCTGTTAAATTAGGATTCGTTTTCAGTTCATTATTTTTTTTATTTTTCAAATTTTAAAAAATAAGTAATAACATAGTTTTGATATTTGATTTTTCATGTTTTTAAATCATACACCGGTGCTATTGCAATTGCAATTAAAAATAAATTATTGATCATCGTTTCCATGGACAGAAACATCATCCATACACTTACAAAAACAAACCAAAAGATCTAAAACAAATATAAGCCATCACACCCTTCTGATCATAAAATTTAATTAGCTATAATAAGCTTATAAAACTTGGATCATCTAATCAGCCCTTAAAAATAATATTAATTAGAAGAAGAAAACTGAAGGAGAGGCGTATATAGAGAGCAGAAAGTCCGTCTGCCATGCATGCTTTTCACCGGAAGTAACGGCCATGTGTGCCTATGGAATACCTAAAGTGTAGCTGCCTTCACTGCAATTTTTTTTCACGTTCTGTACTAACTGTTCGCCCACCAAGCACGCATCACGATGAATTTAATCATGTTCCCATGCCCTCTTATTTATTTTTTCAATTTTAATTTTCTACTTTAGCCAGCTTTCATGTTCATACTATCACTCTTATTTTCAGTATAATTAAATGTTCGAATCATATTCTGTTCAATGGCTTGAAGTGAATATATGCATCTTATTGAGAGTAGAAATTATTTTGTGCGGAGATTTAACGTAGAATGTTGTATGGAGATCAATCAAAATACGTCATATCAGCGGTACTGAGCCACGGTACCGAGCGGTATCGAGCACAGGTGTGACGTGGCATATTCTGGTTGGTCTCCAAATAGCATTCGGCTCCCGCACAGAATAATTAATCGTGAGAGACAGAGAGATCGCTAAATGTACAAAGTAATATGAATTCAATTTGCAATTCAATAAAACTTAGATTCGTCTCTCTAATTTTATAAGACATTTATTTATTGAGTATGATGCAAAATTTTATATTTCAATAATCTCTATTTTTCACATAATATTCAAAATAGTCAATAAACACATAACACGGAAGGGTTAATTCTGAGAATAATAGGCAATTTAGTATGAAATTAAGTTAATTTATAAACAATATAGAAATGAATTTCTAATAAGAACATGGCATTTCTAGCAACTCACAACTTTTAAATTAAAATATCCTCTTTCACTATAATCCAAATCATTTTAGCCCCCAAAACGGTATTTCTCATGGAAATACATAAATCTTAAACAAGGAAGTAATATAGCGTGCTTCATTTCTAGATCCACAAATTTTCTCCCTATGCTCAAAACCTCTCTCAATTGAGCATTATATAATAAAAAAATGATTTTTTTTTCTCTAAAAAACTCTCTAAAATTAAGAAATAAGTGGACATTTTATGAAAGAAGCTTATTGAAAAGGTTGATTAAGGCAATCTTAGTTTAAAATTTTAAAGATTTTAGATTTTGTTTGGAACAATTTTTTTTTCAATACATTCTGAAACAAAGTTTTAATTAAAAAAATGCTTAACTAAAAATAATTTTAAAAAGTATTAAAAAATTATTCCAAAGGCAAATATGTATGGTGCTGCTGTCAAAGGCACTGCAAGAAAAATCAAAAGCAATAAATTATCTTGTAGTCAAACGTAGGCATTGACCATGCAAAAAAAAAAAAAGATGAATTATTTTTGTGCGGAAGTCGAATGCATTCCAAAGCCTAATGAAAATGCACCACGTCACCCCTTACTTGGTACTGCGGCTCGGTACTGTTCGGTATCGAGCTCGATACTGGATGGCTTGGCTGCACCTGATTTGCCTCTTGACGGTAAGTTGTCTTTTTTTTTGTGTACCGTGGCTATGTTCATGGTGATGTGACATGTTCTGATTCGCCTCCGAATAATCTCGCACAGAATAATTTCTCCTAAATATGAAGGCATGTGTCTCTGCAATATTTTTTAAATGATAACACAATTATACATCTCAAAACATTCTAGATTATTGTTGTTGATGATTAGAATATACGCGACGATAGAGTTAGAAAATTTTCATCTCAGCGTTGTGCGGATATCTAGCACACAAACATAGGAGAAATAATAACACCATAATTTTTACATGGAAACCGCTGGAAAGGGCAAAAACCACGGGGCCACACCCAGTTGAAATGATTCCATTAGTGTTTGTTTGAGATACAAGAGGCTGACTCGTCCTTAAAATTTAGGACGATCAGATTACAATGCTTCACTTTCGGATTTAAATCCAATTACAATGTCGGGCAGAGTTTCGGCGTCACTTAGAGATCAAGCTGAATTCCAACGTCGTTCGGAAGTCGAGCAGAATTCCTGCATCGTTCAGAAGTCGAGCGAAATTTCGGCGTCACTTGGGTGTCGAGAAGAATTCCGGCGTCACTCGGGCGTCGGGCAGAATTCCGGCGTCACTCGGGTGGCGAGAAGAATTCCGGCGTCATTCGGGCGTCGGGCAGAATTCCTACGTCATTCGGAAGCCGATCAGAATTCCGGCGGCGGTAGTCGATGTGGAGTTTTTTCCCTCCTAATCTTCTTCTCTTCTTCTTGCCTGGGTCCCCCTCTCATGAGAAATGGGGAGTCTATTTATATATATTCTGGAGTGGCATGACTTGTAAATAGGTGAGAGATCAGGGATAAAAAGGGAGTGGTCGGATGGACGGACAATATTAAATCTGTTGATCGTGTACCGTTCGTCAGGCATTTGAAGGTCTTAATAATGTCGGAATTCGACGATCTTGGGCTCGTTGGATTCCTCTCGTTGAGACGCTCGATTTGACTATAAGCACGTTATGTTTGGAAACCGATTGGTAACTCCAATTGTGGTTTGAATTTTTCAACAGCGCTTCGGGTCCTTGATTTGGATTCATTTGGGCTCCAATTGAGTTGAATTTGGTGTCGTTGGGTTTGTATTTCTGAGACGCTCAGTTTGTCTATAAGTTCGCTGAAATTGGAGTTCAGGTGATCTCGGATTTAATTTTTGAAATTTCCAGCTTGATTTTGCCTCGAGATTCGTGCCTGATCAAGATAGTTTTTGGATGATATATCAATTGTAAATAGACCCTCGTCCTGTCTATAAGGCATAGACTCTCTATTCGACTCTCTAGCCTGGCCCTTGAGGAGATCAATGCAACTGTAAGGAGGACTGTAGGTGGGTCGAATCAGGTAACTGTGGGTTCATCAATCCTTCTAGAAGCTTCGTCTACGAGCAAACTATATATCATTCATGGGGACATTGACCTTGTATTTGAGAGAAGCTAGATATTGGTTTTGTTTGGTATAATTTTTTACTTTTATTTTTTACTGTTCAAAAAAAATTAATCAAAAAATTGTTTTTGAAAATAGTAAGAAACTGTCACAAATGAAGTCATAATTATGCTATAATAATAATAATAATAATAATAATAATTAGCATTCTAATATACAAAGTACTCGTATGGAAAAATTTTCATGGATCGAATTCTGTCAAGAAGTTAAAGAACAAGTCCGCTCCTTCACCCCAAGCAAAATAATAATTTTAAAACATGATAATTTTTTTTTAAAATATGATTCGCATTAAAGAGTGCTTAATGGTCATATGACTAAAAATATTTTTGATTAATGATAATTAACTACTTTATTATAAAAATGTAATTAAATTTTTAGCCATACTATCTATATTCTCAATTTTCTTTTCTAAATATGACTATAAAATTATAAATATTGATTTTTTTTTTTAAGAAGCTTTGGTGTATAAAGTAAGACTTAGGCTTCATTTGGGACAGCTTTCTTACTGCTTCTTAAAGCAGCTTTCTAGTTCAAAAATTTTAAATTTTGAACTAAAAAGCTGCTTTAAGAAACAGTAAAAAAGCCGTCCCATGGAATCACTTTCTTACTGTTTTTTAAAGTAAAATTTTAATTATTTTTTTTTAAATCATTTGAAGATATTTTAAATCATATTTTTTCAAAAGATCCTCTTTAAGTTACTATGCTCTTAGGTCGCACAGTCATTTGTCTGTTCGTTGTAAAGAGACCTTTCGTGATCACAGAAATAAAGGTCAAATGTTAAAAAATTAGCTATTTAATATAAATGAATTAAATAAGATCATTAATTTATTTTGAATCTTAATGATAGAATTTAAATTTGAACTCAACAAATCTAAGAAATTTTAATTATATTCAAATAAATTATATTGTATCATTAATATATAATTTATTTTAAAATAATTATAAATATTAATGAATTTATTTTAAATTTGTTGCAATATAAATTATTGATATGTAATATTAATCTTAAAATAACTTTAACAAATTTAAAATTAATTCATAAATAATTTATGATATTTTTTATATAAAAACAGGATAAGCGAATCAGGCAGACATAAAAACGACAAAAACACTGAAACAGTACAAATGGTCTCAATTATTGTGAGATGATTCTTGCCTGTACTAATCCTTTTCATTTTTTTTTTTTGGGAATATCTTTTCATTTTTTCACGTACATAAAAAAAAAAATCTTGCTTGGCCTATTTCCCCGCATAACAGAAGAATTAGCTTAATTTTTAAGAAATTAAGATAATTATTCTGTGCGGATGGGTTAAGTGACTAATTAGAATGTGGCGCATTCTGATTGATCTCCGAACGATATTCTGCGTCTGTTCGCGATATTCTGCGTCTGTTCGGTCTGTGTACAAATAATTTATCCTTTTGAATGACTAATTTTTTTATAAATTTGATTCTAAATTTGTTATGAGAAAAATAACTTTGATTTAATTATTTGAGACAGCTTTCTTATTATCTTACTTTTTCATACTGCAATCATAGTTTATATTTAGTCATTATTTTTTGTTACTCTTAAAAAAAAATTATATCACTAAATTACTTTCTGCAATAGGTTAAAATTAAATATTATTTTCTCTATAATAATTTTATAAAATAATAATAAATTCATCCCAAATAAAACCTTAATTACACTAGTTGTAAAAATTAGCTTTTAATCACAAATTTTTTTGAAAAAATAGCAAGAAATAGTAGCCAAATAAAATTATAATTATTGTCTGAAAAATCAAATCAGCAAAAAAAAAATTCTCAAAGAGGCCCTTAATTTTGCAAGGAGTACATTAATGTGAGACTAGCCAGTTCATGTCGTTTTATTTAAATACTTTGAAGCTTAGTGTGAAAAAAAGGAATTAATCGGCCACCAGCTTAGTAATTATTCGAAGCGAGCCATGAAAAATACTTTGCATATCAAATGTTATATTTTTGAATGGCCTGTCAGGCTGTCACCTTAATACAGAAAAATCGCATATTACCGACGAATTTTTTCGAAGGCTATCCGACGGCTTTGTTTCTGGTGAGCTTTCCGTTAATATTTGCCGCTGGAAAACCGTTGGAAATAAATTGCCGGTTTTAGTTTACTATGCGGTTTATACCGGCAGGAAAAATTTGCCGGAAAACCTCATTACATCTGGAAATTTGCCAAATTCCGCCCAAAAAACTCGCTAATAATGACTGATTTTTCTGTAGTGTCTGCTCCAAGAAACTGATATAGAGTGACTGAATGGCCAGCAAATAATTCATTCTAATCACGTGAAGAATATACTTTCCATAATAGGATTATCAAGAAGAACGTGAACACCCAATCTGTCTCCAAACTATAATAGTTAATTAATTAGGTAATTATCTTCTAATTTGATTCTAATGATTTAAAGGCAGCTTGCTAAAGCTCGAAGGAGAGAAAAGAAAAATATCCAGGCTCGAACTTTTAATGCGCCAAATCGATTGTAATCATTCAGAATGATATTTCAACTTTTTCAAATGTTCAAATCTCTTCTCTTTAGACTACAAAATCAGTTCTTAGTTCTTATATTAAATTTTTTTTTTTTTAAATTTGAGTATGGTCATCATGATATTCGTTTTTTTATATATGAAGTAGGCATATATGTGTTTCTCTTAGAAAAAATTGCTATTTAGGGCTGGTTTGGTTTGGGATTGAAATTATTCTGTACAGATAGAGACGCCATCAGGAGGCAAATCAGAAAATTCCACGTCACCCGTTTACTACGTACCAGGTGATGAGACGCGTTCTGATTCGCCTCTAGATGGTACGGTGTCCGCACAGAATAATTTTTCGTTTTGGAAATGCTTTAATGTTTTATAAAGATGATATTAATGAAGTTGTTGTGGAAAAAATAATTTTTTAAAAAACTATTATGAGTATTATAAATAAATAAATAATAAATATATAATTAAGTGTTATTTTCTAATTAAGAATTCTCGTGATTTAAAATAGCTTATTATCATAAAAATTTCAAAAATGCAGCAAGAAAATAATAAACAAATAAATTGAAATTATGAACTGAAAAATAAAACAGAGAGAAAATTTTCTCAAATAGAACCTTAATTTAATGACAACCAATAAAGACAAAGTTCAAAATTTTAATCATCTTTAGCTAATTTGACTCTAGTGAGCCTTTTTACTTCAAAATTTTAATTATATGGAGAATTTGATTTGAATCGTCTTCAATTATCATGATAATTAAAAAACTGAGTTCTATTAGTATTAAAATATTAAAAGCTTCAAATATTGAAGAGTATGTTACCTTTCATGCATGTTCATCAGCTAACATAAATTTATATCATATAAAACCACTACAAAGATACAAAATTACATATATATCTCTACAATTCACTTAATTAGCCATCTATCCCCTGTACAAAAGATCATAATTAACTAAACTAGCACGGAACAAAAAAGCCATCGCTTCATCACCCTCTTGTTCTTATAATAGTAATACTCCCCCTCCCCTGTGTATGAATCCTTGTGAGTCCCACGACCGCCTTGCCGGAAAGCCCCGGCCCGCCGCCGACGTCCGGCACACAAGGCATGCACTTAAACTCGCCCACGGGATGCCTCACCGGCCTCATCGGCCGCATCAAAAGCCTCTCATTAATCTCTGCAAGAGTCACTTCTCCTTCATCAAGCCCTGCTGGCTTCAAAACTGTGAAAGGATAAGCCACTTTCTTCTTCCTCCTCTTCATTGTTCTCTCTCCGTTTTCTTCTTCTTTTTGCTTCGCAGTTGAGGAATCATGAGTAATCATCTTCTTGGGTAAAATGGTTGAGTAGATCTCGTGCGAAGAAGAGGATGGAGAAGAGAAGAGTGTTTCTTTTTGAGCTTTTGCAAATGTTTTCTCTGTTTCTTCCTCCCAGAAGTTGAAGGTGTTCTCGTCTGATATCATAGTAATTAAGCTAATTAGATTTCTTTAATTATGTTAATTATCTGTTAAATATGTCAGACAGCTCAGCTTGAATTCTCAAACGATGGTTCGTTAACTTTTAAAAAAAACTTTTTTATATGCAATTCGAAAATTACAAGCAAATTCTAATGTTTGTTTATGAAATTATACTTCTACAGGAAGTGCGTCGTGTGCAAATATTAAGGATTTCAGGTAGGAAAGAGTAAGATTTGAGACCAAATTTGCATTCATCTTTTACTACAGTAGATGTCCGCCTGAATTGACCGGAGAAAAGAAAGATGAAGGGAGAACCTGAGACAATACTGCTTTCTTGAAACAAGGAGTCCAAGTCTCCATAGGTATTCCCAGCACAATTTGAACCCCAAAACACCTGTTATAAATTGTAATTAATTGTTAATAATAATTACAAAAACTCAGGAATAAAAGATATGAGAAAATTTTCCTAATTTGTACATTAAAAAAATAATTGTTTTACTTTCATAAATAAAATAAGTAAATTGGATCACATTGGTGTGATAATTATTACTTGAAGAAGCTCTTGGATGTCTTCAGCGGCGGTCGGCGCCACCGTCATCATTGGAGGATCGTAACTGAACGGTGAAACTATTCGTCGCCGCTTGCACCTCTCACTCCATTCCACCACCGCATCTTGCAAGTAACCAGTCGACTCCGACGACGACATAGGAGACTCCATTTCTAAACCATAATTAACAATATTATATAACTTAATCAAATAATGAAGATGGAACTGAAAGAAACTAAGAGAAAAGTTAATTAAGAGGAAGACAATTAGGAGAAACATGAAAATTTACCCAGAGAAAATGGCTGATGGAGAAGATGATCTCCAACTCCAAACGCAAGGAAATAATTCTCCATTGCCATCATCTCTTTTTGTCTCTCTTGTTCTTCTCTGTCACTCAGCACAATTTGTTGGGGCTCTTAAATAGGAAAGGCGTTTCAAAAAGCTGAGGTCCCTTAGATGATTAGAAGCACTCAGTCAATGGCAAAAATGAAATAAAAATACTAATTTAGAGGGACCAACCAAAGAAAGGAAAAGTTTGCTGGCTTGCTTCTGTTCTTTCTCGTGATTCGTTATGTTGCAGCTTATCTTTCTTTTATTTTTTATTTTTTTCTTTCTTCTCGGATAAATAATAAACCTTTACAGGAAAGCTTTTTGTTTGTTTATTTTATTAGGGGGTACTATAATGAAATAATGCGCGTGATAAAATGTGATATTTTTCGTGTTTGGGAACGGGGAACTGAATAATTGCAAGGCTATGATGTTTTTCGCGTTGCATGAGAAGGAAGGACGGAGGGCTGAGAGGAACGTATTTAATTATATTTTTGGGCTCCATATATTGTAAAATTCAAATTTTGTGCTGTGGTATATATGGGCACGCAGAAAAGTGCCCAAAGAAGGGGACCAATGATCTCAATCTCATGATGAGGTGTGAATAATGTGGAGTCGTTTGATTTGCTTATGATTACTGATTAATATGGGTAATTATCATTAATCGATTGATGGATTATCTGTTGAATTATTGTCTGCTAAGGCTTTGGAAGTGAAATCATAAGAGAATAGTGTTATTTTTGGTCAATATATAGCGATTGTTAAGATTTTTTATAATTTATATTATTCAATAACTATATCCAAATTCTTTCTTCTAGGGGTGTCAATTTCGGGTCACGGGTCGGGTTCGGGTCGAACCCGAACTGACCCGGGTGGAAAACGGGTCGACC